AGGAGTTGAGGCTGCTCTCTGCCTTGTCCTTGGGTAAGTAGGTATTATAATTAATGTGATGGCCAAAGATTCACAACATATGTCGTTCATCCAGACTCTTTGGGTTTCAAAAGAAATGAGGCTTTCACGTTTTAGTAGCCTATTGGCTTATGACTGGAATTAATAATTTTTATTTTTTCCTTATAATAGTGGAAGAACTCAAAGGCAACTTTTGGAATACGGGAAAAAAGGGAGGTTGAAGAGCTTGCCATTTGAAAGGTACATGCTTTTGTTTCCCTCATGTTGATTTTTTTTTCTTTTATTTCAGCATATTATGGGGGGTACAGATGTTTAGGTTATGTATGTTGCCCTTGCCCCCCCCCAAGTCCGAGTTTCAAATATGTCCATCCTTCGGGTGGTGCGCATTGCACTCCTTGTTGATTTTAAGTTGCATTTCGAGATTTATATGTGTGCTGGTATTCACAGGAAGGCCATTTCAATGACTTCTCTGTTTGGGGATTTCAGGAAGCATTATCCATCTCAGTACCATGAACGACAGTGCAGGTCCTCACCAGATCTCCTCTCTGATGTGTCAAAACAAGTAAGTTTTCTGAAAATTCCTATTCTTTAGATAAATGTAATTCGTCCAAATTTCAAATGCTTCCAAGAATGGATTCTGCCAGAATCCCAGTATGTAATAAAGGTTACTCTGTTTGAGTAGGTTAGCCTCCTGAGGAGGTCTGTCAGCTCAGTCTTTCCTGCCAATAGAAGATCATTTAGTAAACTACCACTGGTGTGTACCTTATAGGCTAGAAGGATCTGGCACATCTTCAAATTGCAACCTGTATTGCTAACATCTTGCAAAATGCAGATCCAAATGAATTTCTATGGCCTTGAATTTTTAAAAATAAAATCTCTGCTTTTTTTTTACCTGTGAAAATTTTAAGAGGAAGGTATAAGGTCTTGGATTAAGGTTTTAAAGTATTTTTTGCTGTGTAATTTTGTAACTAAATTTAAGGACAAAATGTTGATCCCCTAGTACTATGAGATGATGACTTCCTTTGAAATTTATAATATGAGCCTTGTTAATTGTTTTTCTCTTGCTGGCTGTAAAAAAATAATTATAGGTCTCACAAACTGTCATGGCTTCATTTCATTCAAATCACAGTGAGTTTTTATCCAAAAGGCATCAGGTATAATGATGAAAGGGACCATCTAGTATATGAATCTTCCATGCCACTTATAGCCCTCCTCTGCACCATCTTACAGAAAATAGAGAGGGGGCTGAAGCAGCAAGGTTAGGAGACTTGTCTAAGGTCACACAGCAAGTCAGAGACAGAGCCAGGACTAACAAGGCAGGACTCCTGGTTCATTGATACAGCTACCAATCCAAACGCTTCAAATACATAAATTCGGAGTCTGGAAGTGGGATGGCATTGAGAAAGAATAGTGTCATGTGTACATTTTAACACATAAATTGGAATGTGATACAAGTTATTATCCTTTCTCTATTTATTTATCTACCCTGGAGCAGAACCTGGATCGAAATGATTGTGTGAAAAACCTTTTCCAAATTTGAAGCTAATGTAGATCCCTGCCCCCACCCCAACTAAATGGCTTTCTCCTCCTTTCACCAATGTGTCCTTTCTTGCAAGGTGGAAGATTTGAGGCTAGCATGTGGTGGTGGGTACTACCGAAATGTGAACGGAGTGCACGCGTCTGAGCCGGTGCTAGACAGCAGGAGGAGGAACTCCGCAGTGGAGGTGACATTTGCAGCCGAACTGGAGCACTCCAAACCAGAGGCGGATCCCACATTGTTACATCAGTCCCAAAGCAGTTCCTCTTTCCCTTTTATTTATACAGACCCTGTCTTTAACGCTTACCCCGATCCTGACCCTGATCCCAGAGACTTCTTTGAGGAGAGGAGTCCTCTAAGCTCCTTCCAAACAAGCTGTAAGTTTGCTGACAATCACATGAGCACATTTTCTGGCCTCACAAGCAAAGTGAGTCCAGCAAGGCAGCTAACTTACACAGATGTGCCCTATATTCCTTGTACTAGTCAGCAGGTTGATATCATGCCTCCCCAAGTCTTTTTTTATGTGGACAAGCCACCTCAGGTGCCCAGACGATCTCCAGTCTTGGCAGAGGAAAGATCAAGGCCAGACAGCTATATAGAGCCAACTGCAATGAAGTCAGCCAAAAGAAGCCCAAGAAATATCAGAATGAAGAGCTTTCAGCAAGACCTTCAAGAACTCCAAGAAACGATGGCCAGGACTAGCGGTAGGAGCAACGTCAATGTAGATCTAGAAGAGGAAGACCCAAATTTAGAAGACACATTTGCATATAACATTCCAGAGCAAACCCCTAAACGGTCCCAGAGCCAATCGGACATGAAAACTATCCGTTTTCCTTTTGGGTCAGAATTTAGACCTTTAGGGCCTTGTCCTGCTCTCAGTCGTAAAGCAGACCTGTTTACATGTATGTTTGCAGAGCAGGAGTTTCCAGCAGTTCTAACGGATCAGAGTACAGCAGAAAGATATGTAGCTAGTGAATCCAGTGATTTGGAATCAGAGATTCTTAAACCAGACTACTACTCTTTGTATGGCAAGGGAATAAGATCACCCATGGCCAGAATCCGCTTGTCTTCTGGTAGTCTACAACTAGATGAAGAAGATGAAGATGTTTCTTTCAACACACCAACTGCTGAAGATAGGACGTTGCTAAAACCATGCAATTACTTTTTAGCTTAAAAGTGTAAATTCTGTGAATATTTTAGGGCCGGTTCCGTGTTATTAACTTAGGCAAAAAATAACGAACCTTTTGTAGAAACCATTTTCTTAATTACTACAAATGTATTGGTGTTAAGGGAATCTTCTAATTTGGGGCACCTAGCTTATGAAAGATCCAGCTGCTGCCTCATTCCTTGAGCTTCACACTTCTATTCCCTCTGAAAGGATTCTGTAACATGCCCTCTTCTCACCAGCACTATGGTGGGGCGAGGCGGGTATGCCATCTCCATTACGCATTTCCTCACAGAGACATTATAAGTGAAGGTCAGGTTCTTCAACACTGAAGAATGGTCATAGTATGGGTTGGCATATGGAATTGGCTTCTAATGACATCTAGTGATTTAGTAGATTGTGACTGTATTGATCATTTTGTTCTTAAACAATACTGAACAAAGGTTTCAGTCCTTATTATTTCTGTGTAGCCCAGTAAAAATGGTCTTATGTTAAAAAGTCCAATTTTTTTGACATATGTAGGGGAGCATGGCCCTCCTAAATCCTTAGGTACAAGGTGGTGGCATAGATCCTCTCAACAGAATACAAGTTTAGAATGAATCTAGGACTTGGCAGAATTCTAAACCTAGGAAATTAATGAATTAAATCAATTTCTAAAGCCAGATAGATACCTGGTAAGGATGTTATGATGTTTGACATATAACTTCTATATTCTTAACTATCTACTATATGTAGTAAAAGATAACCATTAAAAGGTCAGTTTGTTTATGTAATATTTCCTGCCAGAATTTATTTTTTGCCATATGTTTTTGCATGTATGTAAGCAAGGAAATGAGATGAATGTCATTGTAATTAACAGTGATGGAAAATCCATGTAATTAAAAAACAAGTTACAAGCACAGTCTTTCTTTTGTTTTAATCAATTTCAGAAGTGATTGGTTCTTGCCTATTGCTAAGGGAAGGGACAGTGACAGAACAAGGAAAAGGAGGGAGGTGAGTGAAAATGTATGGTCAGGGGCAAAAAAGTGGTAGAATAAAAGTAGAGCTGAAAAGAAAAAGGATAGTACTGACACTAGGCTGAGTTAATGAATGAAAATTCTATTCTGAGCCCATTCAGAATTTCCTTATTGGTCCTCTTGGAAGGTATAGCATCCTATTCGAGAACTTTGTTTATTGATTTTAATGTTAAGTCCAATCTATTTACAAGATAGTGTAAAGTACTAAGTTCAAAGAAATGATGCAATTATATAGGCAAGCTATTTGTACATATAACTTAATGGAGAAAAGATGTATGGAACAGTTTCCTTACTCTCCTAGTCCTTACATCAGAAAAATCCCTTTTGATATGCCTCATTCCACCCCTTTCCTACATTCTAGCACTTTCCTTTCCAGTAACTCACAAGTCTAGGGTAGCTATTTAATAATAAGCTTATATTGAAGCCCAATCACCTATATATTAATCCCGTAGAACCCTGAAGCTATTATATATTAGGTTCACCCTCAACCTTTTCTTTAGGAAAAACTCAAACTCCTTTATGTTATATGCTATTTCTCATCTCAGTTTCTGAAAATCTTCACTAAATTTATGTCTGCTTATGATCTCCTAATAAAACAATGATTAGGGTGACCAAATAATTTATTGTCCAACCCAGGATATTTTCCAGTGAAAGGGGACTTCTTTAATAATTTTTTCAAGACAAGAGGCAGAAATCAGGACAGATGTTCACTGTAGCTATGATAAATGCTTAATAAAATGTGAGGAGTATCTTCCAGTTTCCAACAGAAACTTTGGTTTTAGTGTTCCAACAATAAATTAAAGGGCAAAGGAGGAACAATTTGAAACAAATGAAGCACCACACCACATCCTCACTTCGAGGAAAAGAAACATTGAGGACCATGAAATTTAAATATTTATTTTTAAAACCCCCAAAACACTGGAGTATGCTTCACCTAGAAACAGTTTACAGGACTAATAACTATAATGAATAAACAATAAAATTTGTATTTGGGATGCAATTGTGTTGTAAAGTTTCAAATAAGCAATTTATAAATTTGTTGCTTTTACTTTTACAAAAGATATTCATTTAAATCCATGATATGAGTTGCAAAATTAATTTCCAGAACTCTACAGTTTACAAACTGTAATTGAGTTTCAGTTACATAGCAGGTGAAAAATTTAACTGAACCATTACTTCAAAATACAACACGTTAAAAGTAATTGTTACAGCATAGGCACCAATTAAAACCATTTTCTTGGCATATGACGCCACAATAGCTTTCTCAAGTATCTATATTATGTTTTAAAAAAAAGAGGATGTGATGGCGACTTTGACTAAAAACTGTATTCTTTACCTGAAGAACATCTTTCTTCTAATATTTGGCAATTATTCAGATAAAAAAAAATGACTTGTGCAAAAACCAAATTGTGCAGATCAAAACAATAAAACATTAACTATCAAAACTAATTCACATGAATAATTCTACAACTACTGAAATATAGCCCCAGTTCAGAACTTAGGAAGGCATAATATATATATTGGGCTTAAAAGGAAAAGGTATTACCCACTTAATAGTACCATAAATATAACTGAAAATTAACTGTACAATCTAACTTATGTTCGAATGGACAGAAATCATTTTGTACTATGGTTATTTTCATATCAACTAGAAAATGCTCATTTAAATACTCTTTCAAAAATGAACAAATGATGCTTATGGATTAATAATTATGAAAAATAAGACTGTATAAATAGTTTACAGGACAATTCACTACCATGAAAAAATATGCTGGTGTAAGTTATATTTATACCTATTGATCAGGTATTTCATCACATGACAATCAGCTTTTTTTAAAGCTCTCCAAATCCAAGCATATAGTATGCTGAAGATTTAAAACATGAAGCCAGACTAATTCTCCGTTTAACAAAAATCCATCCTTGGCTAAATGATCTTGCTTGAAATTTCTAACCATGTTAAATAAAGACTAATTGCCTCTTCTATCTAAAAGAGAAGGTAAATACTGCACGCCAAGAGGTACCTCTGTTGCTACCTGTTGCCTGTAAATGCTTCAAACACAGGGCTCTCAAATGTGATTATCATTGAGCTGCCTGGAATATCATACCAACTTGGTACAAGAGTCAACACTTTTACAGATTTCATTTCGAAGAGCTTATTTAAAATTTCAGTTTTAAGAAGGTCCAACCTATTTTCACTTCCCCACCAATAGTCATTTTTAGAATATGCTTATGTTTAAAAAAAAAAAAGCTTTTTGAAGCCTGATGATTTACAAAAGTTGAATATTTAGGATGACTTTGAAAGACCTGTATGTTTCATGAGTGTACAGTTAACTAAAGAATAAAACATGAAAGGTATTCATCCTAGCAACTTAAGAAATAATGATACCTAAAAGCAAAACTGTATCTCAACATTTACTAGAATACAGGTGAAACTACAGTATTAAAAGTTATTCCTTATAAAATAATCTCTTTAAAATATAAAATGACAAACACCATCACAAAATAGTCGAATAGCTTCTTCCAAATCTTCAAAGTTGCAAAGATCCAAAAGGCACATGGAGCTCACGAGCTAAGCATTGTTAAGCTTGAAATAGCTTTGGTGGGTTTCTCTGGGTCCATATGAAACAGAAGCCAATAATAAGAAGTTTCTTAGGAGGATTCATCTGCTGAACACCTATAAAATTAAGAAAAACTTAAATCGCTGCACAGTATGCATGTTTGTTTTTCATTTGTACAAACTCTACAATGAAGAAACTGATTCAGCAAATGAGATAAATACTTTCTATGGAATTTCATCATGTACATGTTAAAATATGAAAAGAAATTCAAAAATCCCTTTTGCATCTGATTTCACAACTTCCAATTGTTTGCAAGGTGGAAAACAGATGGAAGTTTTCCATTGAAAACTAAGGGATTTTAAGGGGAGCTTTAGTTTATGAGTACAAGTGGGCCTTATCAGATAGAAAGCTCCTTGAGAGTGTGTGATTTTACAGGCCACATAGTTTGTTCCAACTTGATCCCAGTTCATCACAAATACAAAGAAATGTAAAAGATACACTGAGAAGAGATACAATGGGATTAAGGCTAAAATTAGTATCACTTTACAGCTTGCTTGAGCTAAGAAGTATTAACGTGTGTGTGTGTGTGTGTGTGTGTGTGTG